CTAGAAATTTGGCTCTCTTGAGTTACTTGAAACTCTTTTTCTGAACTGAATTTATTGGGGTAACATTGTTTAATAAAATTATATAGGTTTCATGTGTACAGTTCTGTACTACATCATCTGTATATTGTATTGTGCATTCACCACCCTAAGTTAAATCTCCTTCCATCACCATTTATCCCTCCTATCCCCTCTTCTGAAACTCTTTATACACCATGAAAGTGAGCATTTTTGATGCATTGAGTTTTGTCAAAACAAACATTTTTAATGCAAAATGGTTGCTTTTTATAGTTCATACTATCCATTATCATGAAATCAGTAAATATAAAGAGAAGTATGGTGAAAATAATTAATTCTGTGAGTTCTCTGACACATATGTGAGATTCGCTGTGGGGAAGAAAAAGATGTAAAAGGGCCAGTCAAAATGACTTGATCTTACTCTAGAGGAGGCAGATGTAGCATAGTAGAAAGATGAGGGAATTTGCCATCAAAGAGAACTAGGTTTCAATCATACTTCTGCCATCTAACAGTTGTGTGACTTTGGGCAGGTTTTCTCTTCTATGAAATTCAGATATAGATAAATACTTCCACTGTGGTGTTGTTGTGAAGATAGAGCTGTTAAAAAATTCAACTGAGTAAATTTAAGGATCTAATTAGCATTATCTAATGATATAGGCAACCTCCCATCTAGCAAAGCTCCATGAAGGAGCTCCAAGAACCTATACCAAATGAAAGGCTTTTTTTATAGGGAGAAGGGGGCAGGAAAATGGAAGTTTTTAGCAAAGAGTGCATCATTTCAGGCAAGGCACTTTCTTTTGGGTGTCTGTCAGATGGATTACCTCACTAGTGCTGACAACGAAATTACAGTTTAACTGGTTAAAAGTAACATTCCTGGGGAAGGCTGAGATTACATTTACATTTGGTATTAAATATCAGTTTGGTAATGAGGGTTTAGCAAAAGTGACCTCATCAAGGGCCTGTTGTCTCTTTTTTAACAGAGTGAAGAACCTCATCAGGACCGTGTTTAATAAGACATTAACAGAAAAATATGAATTAGAAAATGATACAAGAAATGTGTTTTCTCAGAGAAGGAAAAGGTAGTATTCGTTTTTAAAGATGTTATAAAATTCTGAGGAATTAAAGAACTTTCCAGAACACACAGTGAGAGGCTGAGGAGTGGGGCTTTTCGAGCTACACTTAGCCACACACTCTTTGCTGCTCCTCCATACCTGCCTTGCCGCCCCCACCCCCCGCACCTGCCCACTGGCTGTCAAAAATGGTGAAAGAAAGCAAGAAAGCACTTACTATGTTTTGGTGGTCAAACCCAATGCCACCCAAGAAAAATTGAATAAAAGGCTTATCGGAAGCTGGCCTTGAAGCATCACCCTGATAAGTATCCAAAGGAAGGAAAGAAGTTCAAACAGATTTCTCAGGAAGTGGTCTCTGATGCAAAGAAAAGGGAATTATATGACAAAGAGGAGAACAGGCAATTAAAAAAGGTGGAGCAGGTGGCAGTTTTGGCTCCCTCATAGACATCTTTGATATGCTTTTTGGAAGAGGAGGAAGGATACAGAGAGAAAGGGGAGGTAAAAATATTGTGCCATCAGCTCTCAGTAACCTTAGAAGATTCATTTGTATAATGATGCAACAAGAAAACTAGCTTTGCAGAAGAATGTGATTTGTGACAAATGTGAAGTCCGAGGTGGTAAGAAAGGAGCAGTGGACTGCTGTCCCAGTTTCAGAGGCACTGGGATGCAAATAAGAATTCATCAGCTAGGACCTGGAATGGTTCAGCAAATTCAGTCTGTGTGCATGAGTGTCAGGGTCACGGGGAATGGATCAGTCCTAAAGATAGAGGCAAAAGTTGCAATGGTAGGAAGATAGTTTGAGACAGGAAGATTCTAGAATTTCATTTGACCAAGGCATGAACGATGGCCAGAAGATAACATTCCATAGTAAAAGGAGACCAAGAACCAGGACTGGGACAGGAGATATCATCATTGTTTTAGATCAGAAGGACCATACTGTTTACACTTGATGAGAAGACGTTTTCATGTGTATGGATACACAGCTGGTTGAAGAAGCATCGTGTGGCTTCCAAAGGCCCATAGCTACTTTTGACAACCAAACCACAGTAATCACCTATCATCAGGTCAGATTGTCAAACATGGAGATTTCAAGTGTGTGCTAAATGAAGGCATGCCCATTTATAGTAGACCTTATGAAAAGGCTCGCCTAACCATTGAATTTAATGTAAACTTTCCTGAGAATGGCTTTCTCTCTCCTGATAAACTTTCTTTGCTGGAAAAACTACCTGAAAGGAAGGAAGTATTGTAGAAGAGACTGATGAAATAGACCAGGTAGAACTCGTGGACTTTGATCCAAATCAAGAAAGACAGTGGCATTACATGGAGAGGCATATAAGGATGATGGACATCATCCTGTTCAGGGTCAGATCTCTTAATGGTGTCAGTGAATAACACTTACTGCTGGCATTTTTTATACAGTACTGAATGAGTGAAGGAGTATAATCATAATATGCTCACTACTTGCTATTGTTTTTGTTTTAATATTCAACCAGTGTTTTAAAAGTTAAATGAAGAATAAACTCATAATATAAGAAAATTCTGAGGGATTCATAAATAGTTATAACTACATTACATGTAGTATATATGTTTTAGTGCTTATTCCTATGTATTTTCTCAGTAATATATATCTCTCCTTAGGGTGTAAACTATAATAGCACATTTTTGGTTCAGTGTAATTTACCTTTACTTACAGAACTGTGTTTCTATAGCAATAATCAAAATCATATATGAGTGCTTTATATTTGAGTGAAATTACAATGAAATTGATTCCAATATATTGCTGCCCAGTTTTTAGGGCTTTTGTTTAAGAAAAATGGGAAAAGCATTTGAATGAATGATTGCTTATTTGGTATTACTAACATTTTATAGGTTAGACTCTGGGCAAAATTCTTCACTGCCTTTTGTAAAGACTATTCATTGCTCATATTTTGTAGATATATGAATTCTTTGAATTCACTTAAGAATGGTGGTGCATTATGAGGGACATTGGCCATACAACCTGCTCTCCCCAAGAGACTGGATCACCCTTAAGAGTGAACCATTAAGTCCTCCTGTAGACAGCATGCTAGATGGACTAGCTGTCCATCTGTGAGGGTCTCTGCTGGAGGTGCATGCTACATACACACTGATGAATCAAATGAGATGACTTTATGCTCTCATCTCTAAAGTTATTTTTAAAAATCACAATGTATTCACTAAGCAATTACTTAATTTCTTAATGTAGTTTCTTCAGAACTGAGTATTAATTTTTTTGTATTTATAGCCATTGAAAAAAATCAAGATATCTGCACGAAAAGTATTTCTGGAGAAAGTATTCTTCAGAAATAGTGCCTCGTTACACGTTATGCAGATAAATCTTAGAAGTGTATTCTAAGAAGATGCCCCTACATTCCCTAAACTGGATTAAATACTTTTTGTATATATTGCCTCATCCTGCATTGTGTTGGAATTATCTGTTTATATCTGTCTCCCTATTACACCCTTTGCTTTATGGAAAATATTGTTCTAATTTTATGTGCCTAGTTCAGGGACAAGTACTTTAAACGAAGGTATTTATCTGAATTGAACAACTTAATGACAAAATTACTAAATATGAATCCCGTCATCTTGAACTGTTTTGTTGTTGGTGTCCTATTAGAATTTGGTTCAGAGTTCTTATGTCTATTCTGGGAAGAAGATTACTGACCCATTTCTAAGAGTGTTTCACCTGACCCTGGCTATTTCATAATAGCTACTGGACTGGTTTCCAGGCACACACATCTTGCCTAAGTGGTGCTTTGTTTCTGTGCCCTCCTCCCGGAATAGCTATACTTGGTACTGGACTGGGAGCTCCTGCAGGGCAAAAGCCGTGGTATTAAAACAAAAGTTTCTGGTGTTCAGACTTATGTTGCCACAAACTAGGGAGCTCAGTAAACTTGATGCAGATTCCAACTGGGTGCGACACCCTGCAGGCTTCTGAGCTGCTAACAGAGCCACACACTGAAACTAAGAAAAATCACTTTGTATCATTTTAGCTTATACTTAAAGTACCAACCTGCGTCTGTTATTCACCGTGCCAAGAGCTTTCACTCATTTTAAATTCTCACAATTCATTTTTTTTTCTTCCCAGTTTGTCGTTTTGGAATGATAGGTAAATCCTAGTGGGATTGTTTATACCATGGGAGTCCCATGGAGGCTAAGGTTATGGTAATGCTATTTTCACAACCCTTTATTATTTAAAAATTGAAATATACACAAAGTGCGTTGAGTGCACTAATATTAAGTGTAAGGCTCGATGAATTTTTACATATGTATACACCTCTGCAACTACCTCGAAATCAAGACAGCTTTTTAAGCTCTTATCAGGTTCCCTTGTGCCCCTTTCAAACCTCCCTCCCAGAGGTAACCATTATTCTAAATTCTTACACCACATACAGGTTTTGTACGAAATTATTCTGGAGGATGTGGAAATTGGCCCACAGCTCCACGGGGCTGGACGAGACGCACGGTGGGCTCCCTCCCTGAAGGGCATCCTGAGGTTCCAAGGGATCCACCATGCGACGGCTCTGCTCTTACTGACCGGAACCAGCCCCACCAGAGAGTACTCCGGACCCACGTAGGTAGTGTCAGAGCACGCCACAATAGCCTCTCGCCGTCTCCCAAGCCAGCCTCGCCGCAGCCTCCCCACCATTCCAGTGGGCGCCCCTCCCGCGCGCCAAGGAGCCGGGTGTGGCTCTGGGCGCGACCCATCGGAACAGCAAGTGGCCAGCGGGGGCGCTCCGGAGCCAGGGATGTGGAGGCTCGCCCATTGGCTGAACTTTCCCTACGGGCAGGCGGGCCGCTGCACCACCCGCCGCCCCCAGGGCCTCTTTCGGTTCTCCCATTGGCTATTCGTGTTCTACACGCGCCTGCTCCGTCCCCCTCCAAGACGGATAAAAAAGGGGTTGGGGGTGGGAGGTCGGAGCTCTGAGGCGGGTGAGCGGTCTTCTTGGTGAGGGGTCCCGAGACGGCCAATCAGGACAAGACGTGGAAAAGAGGCGCCGCGCTAGCCAGTCAGACCTGCAATCCGGGTAGGGGCCGGCTGACGCTAGGGCGGATCCCAGCCAATGGGCTTGCCGCTATCCGTCCGCTCCTCAGCAGCCAGGCGGGGGCGGTGGAAGAGACAGTGAGGAGAGCGCGACGGCGGCGGAGCCTACGCTGGACGGCCCCGGGGAAAGCGAGGCCCGAGCCTTTGCGTCTAGGTGAGAAGCTGGACGCCGGGTGGGAGAGGCCAGCTGCAGGCGCTTGTTTGCCTGGCCTGGGCCGCAGCTGCGGGCACCAGGACCGCAGGCCGAGTGGAGAAGGGGGTTACACCCGCCATCCCGCCCACGCCCTCGGCCCTGGACTCCCGGAGCTGGGTGCGCCTCCTCTGTAGGGTCTCCAGTCAGGTTGGCCGCGCCGCCGCCCTGCGGAGGGCGGGGACCGCTAACAGGGATGTAGGGAGGGGCCTGGGTTGCGGCCGCGGAGCCTGGGGGCGCTGCCTGGGATGGGGAGGCCGAGAAGAGGTGGCGAAGGCGGTGTGGGTTAGTTGCCGGAGGAGCGGGCTGGTGCGCTCGAGGTTAGCAGTAAAAGGAGGCCTGTGATTGAAGGATTCCAGGTCTGGGGAGGAAAACAGTGCTGGGAAAAGGGGAATGCTCAGAAAAAGGTGCCGGAGGAGACGGTGGAGTGTTGGCCTCTTGGAAGTAGACCTTGATAGAGGGTGGGGGAAATTAGCTGACAGCGAAAGGAGGGCAGGCTTGGGTTTTGAAGGTTAACAGATCTGAACAAATGAGGACACGTGGGTCTGGAGTAAGAGGCACCTACTGAAACCGGAAGGTGACTTGAGAGGAGAAGGTTTTATGTGAGTGAGATGTGGATGGAGGCGTCGGGTGACCAGTTAAGGGGAAACTATACGGGAAGCAAACAAGGTAGATTTATGTATGGTAGCTGAAGGGTGTGGATCTTTTATGAGTGAGTAATAGTAACTGTCTATTTTGGCAGAGGCAAGAGAACCAGACATCTCAGGAAGGAGTCAGACAGGTTCACAGGTTCATTCACTGTGTGCAGCGAGGGCTTAAACACTGAGACTTTGTAACTCGCGCTACTGAAGCTGATCGACCTTCCTCTCCCGAAGAGTTCGTCTCTCAGAAATAATGGCACAAGTGTTGTTTGCTTTTGATTGGATGGCAGTGAAGAATCGCTTAATTTTTTATATTAAAAAAAAGTAGAAAGGCAGTATCAGAAGATACTCTTAGAAAATCTGCCCCATAGGGGAATTTCTCAACTATCTTGTTAGGCATGTGTAATATAGCATAAAAATTATGTAAGATCTCTTGCAATAACACAAGTGAAAGTTAACGTATGAGTACAATCCTGTTATATAGGATCCTCTATTTTGTTTTTGTAGAATTTGGTTATATATCATGCTTGCTGGGAAAACTTTCAGCCTTGGGAAATTTTATAACTCAAGTTCAATTTCTTTTCATGTAGAGGAAAGACAGATATGGTATGTGGGTATCACTGCTGCTGCCTTTCTGTTTCAAGCTTTTGGAATTTTTATTTGTGGGTTGAGAACAGAGGTTGGGGGCAGAGAAGAGGTAGTGGAAAAGAAAGTAGCCCACTACCAAATTTTTGGTGGATTTAAATGGGAGGAGGTGGTAGGAACTGAGGTGTAATTTCTGCTTGAGGATAAGACAAAAAGATTGTGAAGTGTTCATCACTTTTGACAAATATAAAATAGTATAGGGTCAAGGACAGAAACCAAAGAGGACATTCATTGTATAGTATGCTTCCTTGTTAACTAGATGAACAAAGCATTATAGATAATGGACTATTCTATAAGATATAGAAATAATTTTGTAGAAATAATTTCTTGGTAATGCTACTCACTGATCACATTTTACTCTTAATATAACAGCTGAGGTGCTGAGGCGACTTAGAACGGAGAAGTAATTCAAGTGGTGTGGAGTTAATCAGGGAAGGTTTCAGGGAAGAGGTGAGTTATGAGTCATCTTTTGAATTAGGAGTTGGGTATGGACTGTTGGAACACATGAGGATTATAATGAGTAACATTAAAAAATGGCTTTACAGGAGGATTGAAAGTTTGAATGGAGGTTTAAGGGTGTGGCCATCAACTAAGTCAGTTGCAGCTTAGCTGATAAATGATGATTCTGTATGGTGACTATGAGAGATTAGAGTAGTTGATGATGGATTGGAGATAGGCAGTAAGGGAAAGAGCACAAAAATATTTTTGATAGTTATAAGGGAATATGGTGAAAGTAAGTTGGGTTGTTGAGACGTAGATTTGGTGTTCAAATATTTTTGTCCTGTGCTAGATAATATTAATAGTAGTAGTATAATTTATTGGATGCTACTTTGTGCCAGACACTGTTTTGAGCTTTCTAAGCATCATCTTCTTTTGATTATCCTATTTTATAGATGAGGGAACTGAGATTCAGAGTGATTTAATTTGCCTAAGGACACACGGCTAATAAGGTCAGGATTGGCAAAGTCAGTAAACGTTAATTGAGTATCTGTTTCATTCCAGGCACTGTGTTAAGTGCTGGAGATTCAAAGTTGAGAGCAAATCCATTGATCAAGTCTGAGCCATTTTTTTTAGAGATTGTCACAAGTTAACAGAAGACAGCCAGTGAAGAAAGAGAAAAACATTAGTTGGAAGGATTTTTGTAGACACTGAGGAATATACTGTTTAGGGAAACTAAGAATAGAAAGACTTAGGAAAGAGGAGGTAGTCAGCAGCAAAATATATAGCTGGGAGACTCAGAAAAATAAAATTTGAGAAGAAACCGTTATGTTAAGTAAGGAAAAAAGTTAATGGGAAATTAGTCTCAAGAAAGCCAGAATGAAGATATTAAAATACAGGATAATAGTTTATCATCTTTAGTGGCAAGTGCTCTATACAAATTTAAAATTTGGTATGATCACAGTTATGGTTAAGTTCATAGAAAAAGATGTTGGCATGTCCTTCTGCATTATTTGAATCTGACTGGTCAGGTCATGGGTGGTTTAAAAGTACTTGTGCTTTTTATATTTTTCAAATTAAAAAAAGCCTTATTATTATTTTAAAAAATATTTATTTATTTTTAGAGGGGATGGGAGGGAGAAAGAGAGGGAGAGAAACATCAGTGTGTGATTGCCTCTTACGTGCCCCCCACGGGGGACCTGGAAGGCAACCCAGGCATGTGCCCTGACTGGGGATTGAACCAGTGACCAGTTGCTTTGCAACCAGCACTCAATCCACTGAGCCACACCAGCCAGAGACAAGCCTTATTATTTTAATAATTAATGAGGAAAAAAATCATTCACCTGAAATGAGCTAATAGGTGGGTAGGTTAATGCTAATCTGAACTATGTTTGGATCAGAGAAAGGATGGTCTTGCTACTGTGCCTACTGCATATGAGCTACTTTGGTAGGTACACATTCTCACCTTGGAATGACTGGGTTGTTACAGGTAGAAACAACCTGAAACTACATGTTAAAAAATGACATGTGCTTCATCTGAGGGATCAGGTTACTAAAACACCCTGAGTCATGAAGATAGTCTTGGCTATTCTAAACAGTATTTTCTTTTCATTTAATAAATGAATTTAAGGGTGAAAAGAAGCCAAGCCACCCATACACTTGAGTCATTTTAACTTTGTCTTTTGGTCTTATACTCTTCCCTCTCCCCACAGATTGGTTCTATGGTTCCTCTCTTCAGTGAGTTTTTTAATGGGCTTAGAGTTTCACAGTTCTGTGTGGTGATATGAAAGTGCTGATTTTACACAAAACTAACTGAAACACTTAACATTTGTCATTGTTTTCTGTTCCCAATTTGAAGAAGAGACAAATTTCAAGAAAATAAGCTTTTTCTTAACCAAAATTTTCCAAAATTTTCTTAACCAGTAGGATTTGCCCTTAGAACATAGTATGGATTTATTCCAATCTCTAAAGGAGAGGAAGAGGAATTATATAAGTCAGGAATAGGCTCTGGTTTTTAGTTTAATTTCATTTGGCTATAGGAATTGTGAGAGAAAACAATATTTCATCTTGGTACTGTACTTTTTTCATTAAATTATCATATTTAATTTTCATACAGTTCTCTAAGGTGGCTCTCCCATTTTAAAGATGAAGAGAGTGAGACTCAGTAGTAACGTTGCAAAGGTTGAAGAGCTAAGGAACAGAGCTGAGATTCAAACCTTGTTTTGTCAAATTTCAAAACTCATGCATGTAAGACAAATGGCAAGAAGAACTTGTGTATATGAATGCCCACAATAGAAAGAAATGCTACAGAGCCTTAGGTATTTAGTAACTATTTGTTACCTTAGAGCAGAGGTGTCACACTCATTTTCACCTGGGGCTACTTCAGCCACTTCAGCCACATCAGCCTGGTAGTTAGTTGCCTTCGAAGGGCTAAATGTAATTTAGGGTTGTGTAAATGTAACTACTCCTTAACAGTTAATCCAGAGCTCCCAGCTGCTGGGTAGAAACAAGGAACAGTGTGCCCGCTGGATAAAACAAGGTGGAGGGCTGGAATTGGCTCACGGGCCTTCTGTTTGCTACCTGTGCCTTAGAAGTTGGGGATTCTTGCCTTGTGTGTTTGTGCCTTGTGATACTGGCTCTTAAATAATAGTGATTTTTGTGTCTCATATAGTGCATTATATTAATGGGTTGGCCAAAAAGTTCATTTTTTTTTTCTGGGAAATAAAGGACACATTTTTCATTTTCACCAATAACTATTGATTTGGATATTGTGAGTATGTCTGCTATCTCCTGCTATTGGCTTCTAAGTGTGTAGAGGGCAGGGGTGCTGCTAAACACCTTTCAATGCATAAGACAGCCCCATAGCAAAGAATTATTTAGCCAAAATATTAATAGTACCAAGAAACTTCACAAACCACTTTTGACATGTTCCATTAGCCACAGCACTTTCTCCATAAACTGCACAAATCTTTTTTTGCATTTCAGTTGGGTTTTTACCTTTCTTAAAATAAGAAACCATAATATGCCAAAAATGTTTTCTTCTTTCATCTTCAATATTAAAATGGCTGCACAAAAATTCACCAATTTTGCTAAGTTTTTTTTAAATGCATGCAGATATGACAGCTTTCACAGTACAATCTAACAAAATTGTTTTGAATGAAGTTAAAGACAGCTAAGTACTACTAGAGCCATTGTACGGAAAAAACTAAATGAACTTTTGCCAACCCAGTACCTTTAAAGGTGTGTTTACACATTTTAGTGTTTTTTGAAATGAAAATGAATCTACTGTGCTATATTTATTTTAAAATGTTTATGAAAAGGATACTATGTCTTAAAGGTTAATGTGTCTCAGAATTGAGGTAGTATGGTATATGCATATAGTTTTGTACAACTGTCTAAGTAATTTGTTGTGTGCATTCCCCCCCCCCCCTTTACTTAGCCAAATACTTTCTTTTTTAGTATGGTATAGTATAGAACTGAAGTATATATTAATAATAAAATAGTTATTTTCTTTAGCTATTGAATATTATAGTGTAGAAGAAAATACTTTGATGTAGAAAATTCACATTGCACTGTGAATCAGATCTGAGTTTTAATTTTGGTTTTGTTAGCAACTTGATGTGTTACTTGAGGCAAGTCACTTCCCTCTCAGAACTTTACTTTCCTCATCTGTAAAATGGAGTGGGGAGGGGAAACTTTTAGACCTGTCTAGCTTGAACAAACTGTATGCCCTCTTTCTAATGAAAAATGTGGTTGTCTTAAAAAGTGATCACTTTCTTAAAAATTGTATTTATTGCTTTTTACTATTTTTTCTTCCTCTTCATCTTCCTGTCTTCCCTCCCTGCCCCTTTTATCCATGGACCCTTGAGGATATTGTTAGATTTTTAATCTATTAGAATGGTGAATTATTTTTGATATACTACATTTATCAGGACAGGATACTGAGAAAGGAGGTAGTTAATAAATAGTTAATGAATGAATAAATATGTTTTATCTGAGTTAACAAAAGAATCTATAAATAGAATGCCATCCAAAAAGCTGTTGAACTTTCACTGAAAGGTAATTCTGCCTAAATAGTGAAATGTGTTTTGTAAAGTAAATTTATCTGCTCTCTAGGTGTACACAGAAGAAAACTACTGGGCCTGTCTTCTAAGTTCTCTGTTCTAGTAGAAGAGGCAAACTACTTTAAACTTTGTATTGTGGGAAATTGCTGACATAAAAATATAATAATATACATAATATTAATATCACCAATGCTATTTATTTTAAAGACTATTTATTTTTAGAGAGAAGGGAAGGGAGGGAGAAAGAGAGAGAGAGAGAGAGAGAGAGAAACAGACATGAGAGAAACATTGATTAGTTGCCTCTCATAAATGGGGACTGAACCTGCAACCCAGGCATGTGCTTTGACTGGGAATCCAATCTGTGACCCTTTGCTTTGCAGGATGACACCCAGCCAACTGAGCCACACCAGTCAGGGCTATATCATCAACTTGAACAACTACTAACTTGTGGTCAATCTGGGTTCATCTGTACCTCCACCCACTTCCCCATTATTTTATTTGGAAGCAAAGCTCTAGACATTTTTACCAATTATTACTAGATAGCATGGTAAATGTGACAATAGACATGCTAATCTAAGTGAAGTGGAAATTTTTAAAAATACATGAAAGAATATGGGTTATACTCTGTTCGGCAAGAGAAATTAGACGTCATAATCTGTAGGGTGGGGATAATGTAATTGGAGAGACTGAATGTATATATATAAAATAGAATGTAGTGAGATCATATCCCAGAATTGGTTATAGAGATTTCAAGTGGGAAATGACATTATTTCTGAATGAAAGTAGGATTTAGACAGGGAGAAAGAACATTTAAGGGGGGAGGTGAGGGTGATCACATGGAGAAAGCAAGTAGAAAAATCTAATTTTAGCTTTATAGAATAAGTTATAGCTAAATCTGTATTTCTCTATATCTTTTAGACCCCTGCAAGATGTTATTGACATACTGTA